TTTACCATGACAACAAAGTAAAGCAAAATACAATAGAGCAGGCCAGACATAAAGAAGGGGGAGGCGTAAAAGGACAATGTCACCAGGGTAAAGACGGACTATCGTAGAGTGCTTTCTGTTGACACAAGGGTGGGATGAGTCGAATAATATCATAACCAGAAGAGAAGAAGTATCAATTAATCGATCCGTTTATCGAAAGGAAACCTAGACAGGCCAATATTTACACATCGACATCTTTGTGCCCCTGGAGTATACACGTGGTCTTGTTTGGACCTTATATGACAGAACAAGACAAATTTGCACGAAAGATAGAATTGAAAAGGAATGCGAGACATTCGGGAGTTGTTAGCAAAGCACGCTTACCCTAAGCGTTGTTGATAAGCATAGCGAACCCAGAATTGCGAAAGAACCGGTTGTGTCAGTTCACAAACGATGGGTCACATTGTGCCTTCAATTCAAAGGTGATGTTGTAAGCCGTCTGCTCGACAAACGACTAAGATCAACAAGCGCTGAAACCTACTATGCAGCCGACACCCAAATCGTCTACTGGATAACTAGGATACCTACACTCCCGAAAAACGAACGTCTGTCTCATACGTCGACTCTAATCTGATCTACAAATTCCACTGTGGGTGTGGAGCGACCCATGTAGGCAGAACAGAGCGACAATTACGCAGTCGGGTAGCGGAACATATTCCAAATTGGGTCCAAAATCAGGTCAACTCCGCGGTACAGAAACGGCGGTCGAAATTACAAGACCCCATCCTCAACCATTGCTCGACACCTGCTGATGTAGCAACCCCAGTTCGACCGAAGAACGGTGTTTAACATTGTCCACAAGTCACTAATCGCAAGATTGCTAAGGTTCGCTGAAGCAATTGCTATGAATCGAGCCCCCCCACCCCACTTGTGTCGACCAAAAGAACTCTACGCTAGTCTGTCCTTTTACACCTCCCCCTTCTTTATGTCTGGTCTGTTCTATTGTATTTTGCTTTACTTTGTTGTCATGGTAAAGCCCTGTATAAACATTGCATTTTCTGCAGTGTGCACCATGTTGAGATGCGGCGAAGTCGTCCTGGACATAAACTGTGCAGATGGCAATATGGTCTTTTCTTTGGAACTTATTCTCGGTAATGGCTCGCTTCAGTTTTCACAAGGTATGATCTCCATTGGAGCAAGGGTTTCGTCTCAAGTGTTTGTATACCAAGAATTTTCTTCAGGTCAAAGAGGAATGGGCATAATTAGTTGATTATAATGATGCAGTGGACTAAGTGTACCTCGACCTTCTTCAGCATCAGATCGTGTGAATCCAAAAGATACTGTTACGAAAATTTTGCAGTTGTGGAGATCGGAGACTGGTGCTGGGTTGGATAAATAAGTTTCTTGGACAACCGACCATGGTATTTTGGGTTTTTGATTTTCTATCTGGTTCGACCAGTGCAGTTTGATGGATTCCAAAGAGGTCCGCGTTTGGCCCTCAAACACTTCTAGTTTTTATAAACAATCAACCGATCTTTCAGGGTAGCAAACCCTAATGCCTGCAGATAATACCGAAATATGGAAGTGTGAAAAACCTAAGAGCTTACTGACACTTCAGAGGACATTCAGTGTACCTTCTCAATGGTTGATCGAAAACACTGACGAATTCAACGTGTCGCATTCGTTCGCCACGAATCTAGATTTCCCTACTGCCTCGGTCATCCACAAGTTACATGTTTCCCGAACAAGGCGGATCTTTTGTCAACGTGCAAGACAACAAAAACTGTTCACCTAACTGCTCTAGGGTGTCCGCACCTCTAAGACATATCGGTCTGATAAAGTGCATCTTTGACAAATTGGAGCCCTTGCAAATTCCACGTTTTGTTATCAGCACAAATTCAACCATACAGTAATTAATTCATCCATGACTGCAAAGTGACAGTAAAGTGCTGGACAGTAAACAAAAAATAGTTACCTATATGATCATAGAAATGCATTCCAAAACCTGTATGGAAAGACTGGAATCATTCCAATCAGTTTCACCGAAATCGAGAAAACGTAATTTTGGTTTACCCTACCCATCCACCCTTTCGTCCTAGATTCTTTTCAGACGGAATTCATTCAAGTCAGTGCGCCAATCTGTATATTGGAATTTCGGCGTTATTTCTTTGCCATCAGTGTTCAATATTTGGAGTTGCTTACCAAATCACTTTGATTCTGCGCCCACGGTAGATTCGCTCAAGAGGAGACTGGTTGAATCATTGACTTGTCTCAAATTTCGACATCTATAGCAATGCATCAAAACAACCAGATTATGTGATAATTCCCATCTCTGTTTACCTAATCAACCGACTCAATTATGACAAAAGAAATGTGGGACAGGAAAAACAACGGCCTCATGGCATTTCTCAACGTCAACGTATCGGAACCAAAATTTAGTCCTAATTTCCTTTAAGGTAACGATATTTCACCCTTTTCGTATAAGGGTTTTGGCAATGAATCCTGATATTGACGACCACATTAGTATCCCTTTCAGTTAGTTATGGATTTCTCCGTTGAGTTCTAAATATGCCTCCAGGTAGAATTTTACGATTTCCCAGATTGTAGCTGACGCGGTTGGTTCGCCGGTGGTTTATAGACTTCACGTTGTTTCTATTAACAGAGAAACAGGAGTTTGTCCAAGCAATGAGACAATTTAATGTTGACCTTGTTATACTAGCTAACAGTTATCGAGTACCATTTGCAGCGAGAACCAAGAAAAACCATAAAATGCGATGTATTTTGAGTCTCGGATTTTGATGAGCAATTCCAAAAATTGTTCGCTCAAATCACACAAATCCGATTGTTCAGCATTTTGCATGATCTCGTGCATGGTTGATGAAGTCCTGGGTGGGAGTTCGGCGTATCCAACTATGCCTCGATAAATTTTTCTGTACATTCAACTAGTTTTACCTTAGAATAACTTTCTGTAGTCAGTTGGATATCGGTGCTATTTGTGTTTATTTTCTGAATTGATGTTTCATACTTTCAGGCCAAATTTTACTGGCGAAAATTATGTCCATCCAAAAAGGAATAGGCTCCATGCCAAAAATATACATTTGTTGCACTACAGTAGACTTCATGCAAAATGACGGTTCACAAACATTAAAGTAACTGATTGGCAAACTGGTCGTTTCCATTTTTCCTCTCACACGGTGATCTACATGCTTGAAGCATCATACTTCGTCAGAGAAACCGGTAATACTGGGACGCCCGGGAAAGGCTCATTGAGAATGCGACCCCATCTGGTGCGCAAATATTGAGAAAAACACATGAATGCAATGCACATTTTCCAGGAACTTTCATACCTTTGGCTTCGGTAAACGAACTTCCCAGTGACACGAACTCGGGATTTGGAAATCCTAAACAGTGAGCATGTTGACCAGTACGAAGGAGAATTCGGACATCCCCACCCGCAATTCAAGAAGCTGTTCACTGCATTTTCATCAAAACCACGTACAGTGCGTCGCCTGTTGAGAAGAAACGTGAAAGATACAAACGGAAGAGCAGTCGAAGTGTGATGCAGAAAGGCGTCTCTGACAATGACTGTCCTTTCCACAATTAATTACAAAATGAAGGGCAGCGGTTCAACCCCAGCGCTCATGGAGTACAATTTTCGTAAGGTCGACTTACTTATAACTCGCCTACTCTTCTCATAGGAATTGACCCACCTATAAAGCGGTTCATGGAGTATATGTGTTGGCAAGTGTAGGATCAGTTTTCCAAAGCAGTAGAAGCTAGGTGGATGCTCCAGAGCAGACAATACACGGACATACTCTACAACAGGGACATGATTCTCGGTGGCATCCCATATACACCAGACCGCGACTACTGAGTTCTTCAGCAAGTTCGAGGGAACTTCATCAAATATTGAAAAATAAAAACTCGTTCACGAATGAGCATTCTGNNNNCTGGGAAACCCATGAAAATAGACTATTCTTTTGCACCAACTAGCCGTGCTAGTGCAAATCTTTCGGCATCTCATAAACAGTGGACAGCCTAAATGAGGATGGACAGGAATGGCACAACTGCATGTCCACCAGTTTCACGTTTACTTCGAATTTGTTTCCGGAAACAAATCCCGGTTCTGAACACATTCAACGAGAGACAGGAAAGCGGGATAGGGTGTTTTTTATTCACACGTTCAAAAAGAATATCATCACGAAGGGAATGCAGTACTTGTTGCAATGGCCGAAAGACAGGGACAACAGTTTGTCCCNACAAAAACATATACGCACACAAACACACACACACACAAGATCACATGTACAGGAATGGAAACTGCTAACCAGGACTAACAGTGCAAGAGGTGAACATCACAGCAGATCAGTCCGATAACGGTCTTGGAGTGGCTCAGGTACACGAATGGGAAGAAGACCGTACATATTGCCTCGGATCAGAATACTACCAAAAATACCTAATTAGTCGACAAGAAAACGAACAACACGGTTGAATCTGATACAAAGTGCTCAAAATAGTCTATGATGTACAAATGTTGGAAGAACGATGTTCTCGATAGATTGGTTCAACATACATGTCATTTTCCGGATTACGATAAGATGGTGGTGTGTTGGGGGTAGTGATGCACTTTCTAACAAGTGTCGACGAAGAAAGGGAATAATGGAAACTGCCTACAGAATGAACTTAGTCATGCACTTTGCCCGCTCTGTGGCACGAGTAGGAAGAATGGGGGCAGTAGTCATGATAAAGTCAAGGATGCATAAACTATTGTGATTCGTAATAAAAAGATAAACATATGACAAGGCAGATCGGAGGAGAAAGAATAAGTGAGCAAGTAAAAGAAGGGATGGACAGAGTCAAATCCGAATGCAGTTTTTGTGTTCGAAATGAGAAAAGCACAAAAAACGATGGGATCAACAAATTAATTGATCGCGGACGGATTGAGATTACGTATTCCATGAACCAGCAGCGCGTTTCAGCGTATGAATGGAGGCCGTCTTGATCTCAACAAATTGTGGGAATCAGTTTTCGATCGGCGAACGGTTCTGATTGTCGACACTAAACGGAACGTTCTGCGGTTCACTATTTTGATGGCGTTTACGTCCTTGTGAAGCTGGTCGTTGGATTGAGAAAGATGTACCGGCTTGCACGTGGAACATAGTTTTTGGGATGTCTAAGAGGTTGGACGGGCCGCCCGGGCTAACGAAGCCACATGAATCACCTTCCACCGTTGTTTGAACACGATCTTTCACCGAGTTAAACTTGCCGGCATCAAAAGAATGACTTCGATGAATGACCTAAAGGAAAGAAAAAAAGAGGGTTGTGACTGGAACATAATGTGAATACGTATATAAATGAATGTAAACCAACCAAACCTCGAATTGTAAAGTGCACCTTGTAAAACGATCTCCAGAGATCGGTTTATCGGAACGAAAACCCAATAAAAGCTATGTGAAGAACATGTTAGAGAAGACTGAAAGAAAGCTAGAAAAAACACACAAATACTAGTGATACAAACAAAATAGGATAAGTGTTCAAAAAGGAGACAAAACCATCGGATTTGGAACAAACCGATCGCTCTCCAGAGGCCTAACGTGATGTTAAATCGATTACCGTGCATGCCCATTATCAACACACTGAAGCTAAACCGTGAGCCAATAGATGCCTATTGTGAGGTTCAAAAACAGAGATACCATATTTTCACCGAAATACGCTAGAGATCTCCTGTTCTGGGAAAATAGAGCACAATGTTGGGCTTTGGACACTTTAACTGTTTCAAAGCAGTTGTCTGTTGGAACCAAAACGTGGATAAAGTTACTGGTGCGGTTGCACCTCAAACCAATCATGTAAGAGTGATAATCGTCGACCTAGCTTAAACCGTGAGGGAAATAAACTAGTCATGCCATTAGCTCCAACCAGAAGCCAGCGTATAACACGATACCCTTGCTAACCGGCGTTTTTCACTCATTTTCTTAGCTCTCTGAATGCTTGGGGAGTTCTGGAATAGAAGCAGACGTTTCCCAGACCACCGAATTCGAGGGGACTTGATGTTGATGTACCAAATATTGCAGAACAAAAATCATCCCTCTCGTCCGCTGCTCAGGTGGTCGCCTAACATCCACCTTAGGGGGCACAGTCTCAAGTTACTAATGCCGAAGTATCGATTGGAATGCCAGCATCAATCTTTTGCAGTCAGAGTGTGTTCCACTTGGAACGACCTTCGATCTCACATACGACAACCGTTGAATCTTCCAAGCGGAGAATTGATGAAACCGTGACACACTTCACATTTCTACCCAACTAAAAACGCAAATTCGTTGAAGATTACATCAAGTGTTATCTCTTATCCGGAACTGTATTTACTGTTTAGCATTTTTACCGAGAAAAGATTCAATTGCATAAAAATCCTACGGGAACATAAGAGGCGTGGGCTTGCAAGCAAATCCCTTAATAAAACTTTAACCGAGAAGGTATCAGACAGAAATGAAAACATTATTAAATACTGACACCACCTCTCTAACCTCCGACGAAATTACCAGATTGGCCTGTTCAAAAGAGAAGCGGTTGTCAGTTTTTAACGACCACCACATGCCTGAGTGGCTGGTCCCGCTCTACGACTACGACTTCTAATACTACCCGCCACTCAACTGCCGAATTCAGAACATTAACTGCAAATGTGACATAGTACTCTCAAAACACTTGAGGAAATCAAAAAATTACATATTATTTATACCCAGCACTACTGAAATTAAAAATGGGCATTCATTTGCTTCAGTCTCACCTCGAATCAATACGCATGAAAAACCGAATCTGAAGCACTGGTCAAAACTCATATCATGAAAAAATAACGAAATAAAACCCAATTCAGTACTTCTAAAATTTATGTTCTCTGCACGACAAAATCTGCCATAAAATAAAGTTTAAACTACCAGTTCAGGTAGTTTTTATAACTGGTAACCTTGTACTTCTAGGTGCCATGTTTCAGTCAGGTTTTTCAATCACCACACGAAGAAAACGGTTAAGAATAGCGAGCAGCACCACGATGAACATATACAATGCGGATAAGCTAAGTTTGTGCATAAAACGAGTAGAGGTTACTATGACAGTACAGCCACAGGGCGCTAGACAAAATATTGAAAATTAGTTCTCGTAGCTCGGGTGAACTGAATTCTATTTCGGCTGTTGACCGAGCTTGGCAATTTGTTGGCAAACTTTTCATCACCAGCCGAGGTGACACCATCAGTGCTTATGATGACGATGTCACCTCGGCGATGATGAAACGTTTGCAAACAAAGTGCTAAACTCGGCGAACAGGCGAAATGGAATACAGAGCACTGTAACCAGTGAACAGGGCGGTCATTGGAAAGCTTAATGTGACTCACATGACCAAGGAACCGAGCTAAATGTATCCTTCCTCATGCCAGGATAATGTTTGCCTATGCATGATCTTGTTCCACCTACTGCTTGCCTCGGTGTGCATCGCACGGCAAGGGAGCCTAGCCAGTGTCGTGAGTGAAAAAAACAGAGCCACAGCAATAAAAGGTGATTGAATAGTTGAATAAGTACGAAATCTTGAATACCCAATAAAGTTTGTTATGACTATCCCATTTCGTACTGACTTCTAGGGTTATAACTCGACTAGAAACATGCCCGACCTCGCCGTAAAATTTTCTCATTATCAGAAACAACACTCCTGTTAGGGAGGGCAAAAACCAACAATCTCGCTGAGACGCTTGAGAATATAAAAATCTAAACCACGTACTAATTAATACTTGGTAATTACCGGAAATATATTAAAACGATGATTGACAAAGTCTTGAGCGGAATACGCAAACATCACTGAAAAATATACCACTCATACAAAGTGATCTGGTGACTTACCGATTCATTGTTCATGTTGCGTTCGAACGGAGTTCGTGTAGCAGTCGGAGAAACAACTCCCGGAGGTGTGTCAACTGATTCGACAGCAGGTATGTGAGACACTAAGGCATCGGTCAGGTGATCCGTGAGTGACAGTTCCTCGTCTTCCGTCTCTGTGGACATGCTAGACATATTTCTCCGGCGCGGATGACCAGGGGGTTTCACGACAGGCGGTATCATATCGGTGTCCTGAAACAGTTCCCTTGGAAGGGCTTGAACGCTGGCTGATCGAATCAAGGGTGGCCAAAGACCAGCAAGTCGATCTATTTCATCACGAATTCGTTCGTAATCTTTCCGTTGAATATGTCTTGAATGAGGTTCGATATGACATAAAATAGAAACAAAAGGGAGCTGGGTGATTCGGAGCTGGTAATACAGTAACATGCAACACACAGCCCGATAAAATGAGGATACGCCGAACTATCAAGGTGAACATCGAAGGAGATGACTGGAATCGGAAAACGAATGAATTCTCAATAGCGGTCACACTTTTCCACAATCTCACGCAGAATTATGCAAGAGTCTAATTTGGATTTTGTGTTATTTAGTACATATCGTAGGTATAACCTCAGTCCTCGGAGGGAAGATGGAGGGGAAGCAACACTTGATCACTTGAAACTAATGTATGACCTTCATGATGGGAGCGCGCCAGGTTACGCTAGGATAGAATAGATGCAGTGTGGAGTGGTGGATTAGCGAACGGGTCTGGACAATGTATTGAAACAATAGAAACTTTTAATCTTTTATTCACTTGGCTAAATAATACTTTTGCGAAGTCACATGTTTATCCGAATGGAGAGGGAGAGTGAGACAGAGGGAAAAGTGTTGGATAAGAAAACAGTTTTGTGATGAAAAAATGAGTGAACATTGTCGCGCATTAGAATCCGGGTTTGAAAAGAATTAGGACAGGATGAAAAGTCAACCTCCCTATTCGGGATAGATATTGCCAGTAAGTTACTCGGTTCGCCAACTTTAAACAACTTTCACTTTTCTTCTTCAAACTTCGTTAGGTTAATATAAAAAACGACACTGCGCATGGTTTGGAGTTGAGTGAGCTAAACATTTCAAGCAGTATTTTCTATGATTATTCGAGTTGAACTGTTTGCGTAGCAGTGAATGAAGAGTATTTCAGACAACTGTTCCAATTGGGTTGAAACTTGTCGGTAACGCCGGTTCTTGCCGGGACACGAATCAGAAAAATTTGGATAGGGAGCCCGAAATCCTGATCCCGGAACTACAACGTCAACCGGCATCACTCTGCATACACGACCGTAACAATGAAATGGACATATTCTTACCTTAGTCCATAAGTATTTACATATACTGGGACCAGTCTGTTCACCTTATTTCGTGCATCTGAAGTTAGTAGTGAAGTAACGAGATTCGAAGAAGGAACTGGCAAATTAAAATCAACACACAACCCATAGTGCCTGTGCATCGGTACTGCCACTCGGAGAATATGTTTACTTAGNCTTTGCAACATATTTCATTCAGAAAAATGAATTTAAATGTTTCGTGATGTTTGGTTACCTTGTCAAAGGTGTATCAGACAGACAATCAACGCATTGGAAAAACGCCTGATCGCGGTTCGGAATCGCGTGGATTGGCACTTACCGCGGAAATAAGACACGGCGGATGTGAACGAGTTGTCGACGGAACGATACGCCCTCGACCACGGATTCCATCAGATAGCACAACAAGAAATTAGCCAGTACCATTAGGTGCAGTAATATCAGGTAGCGTAGGGACGGAATGTCGACCAACTGATTAAGGAAACAAACATTAGGAAGAAAAGCACATTGGAACTCTTTTCAACGAAACAATTATCAAGTATTTATGGCACTCGCTGATTTAATTTTTCTCCTTCATTCCAGTATAATTCGATGATAAATACAGCCATCAGGATCCACAAAAGAAACAGGCTTGGCGAACGGTTAAAAGCTTCAATAGGACAAGGTCGAGCTACGGTCAGGCTTCAGCGAAGTTGACAACCGCCAAAGTTAGACGAAGGTGGCAGGGTTTGCATTTCCGACCTTGCGGGTCAATGTAAGAGGGATACGATAGTCTAAACCGCTTCTCTACGA